GGTGTCCCCCAAACTTACCTGTGGTTAGTAGGGAATGGAGGAATGGGGTACAAGTATAACTACTATTACTACCATTCTTCCATTCCCTACTAACCAAAGGTAAGCAAAGGGTTTAGGATGTCTGAGCCTTTTTTTGCCACCCGCCCAGTGGAACAATGTCGCACTGCAGGGAACGGAGAGCCTTTGGGGTTTCGGCGCTCACACTCGGACAGTCCAGGCGAGGCATGTGGTTCGAGGCCTGACAATGTGAAACGGAGTAATGGATCAGTCATATAGGGTTCGCCCTGAATCGTACAACCAAATTATATGCAGTATGGTTTCAGGGTTCAGGGTGTAGGCTTGAGGGATGTTGTGGCTCGAGCCAATGAAGGGTTGCTTGCTTTGCTTGCGTCGAGCTCTGTCCGATTAGGTGTGCGATTTATTCGAATTAGAATAGGGTTTTGGGGTATGCTATACTGTAAAGAAAAATAGGAACCCCCAAAACCCTACTCTAATTATGAAGTCCCCTCCAGTACCAAGCAGCATCACCAGGGTTCGGCTGCTGCAGTCTGCGTCCAGCTCGGCGGGCTTCGACTCGAAGCCATATCTAAGCCTTACAGTACTAATTATTTAGGCCCCTACACTAAGTACTTCTCCTGTGTGCTGAGCGTGAATGCTCCTTGGGAGCCTTATATACATCTCACGTTCCTGCAATGTTGCAGTTGGAAAGGAATTCCTATTTCAAGAAAGTGGCGCGGACATGCAGGACCGCAAGAATCCCCGGCGGACTTGTACATGGCGACTGGCTGCAGACAGCTCCAGGCCGCGGCAGGAGAGTGTCGCACCGTGCTCCAGCTGCACCGGGCACACCGCCAGCTCTGGCCCATCCCATCTCAGGGAGCTGCGTTCTGACGCCAATGCCCAGGCATTGGTAAACCTCATAACATGACGAAAAACACAGTCAGCAAGGTGTCGGGGCTTTCGGAACCCTGGAGTGAAGGCTGCACGGAAATTCCCGAAATCACCAGTCAACCTCTGCTACTTGGAGGTTTATGGGTAGTTGTACATGGAGTTATATTCCCATTTTAGCTATAACTATAGTTACCCTGCTCATAACTCCAACTGCAACTAATTAACCATGAACCTCGATTTGTTGCCAGCACATTGCGGTCCCAGGCGCCAGCTACGAGCGCGCTGTGTTGCCCCCGGATCCACAGATCCGGCTTCGTCTGCTTTGGAGATGCCGCCAGCAGTATCATGCGCGATGGACAGGAAATGCCACAGAGTCGCTGGACGAAAGAACCTAGATTCTTACTAAGTAAAGAAAGCCGTTTCAACTTCTACGACTTCTACGTCATACTTCCATATGACCGTTATGGCACAAAACAAACTCACACTCGGTTCTTGAACAGAACCTAGGAACAGTGTCCAGGAGTCGTCACCTGGGCACCAGGCGGATTGTGGTTGGCTTCAAGCCACTCAGTATTTGCTTAGTATATGAACCGCAATACGTTCCATAGGGTTGTGGGGTAGGTTATGCCAGACTTACAAACCTGAGGAATAATATTGAATATTATTATCCAGGCGCCTGTATTGCACATATTATAATTATATGGATGTCTTAGGTCTCCCGGTGGTAACGGATACATCAACGCAACCCCTCGGCTGTCTGGAGTTCCTCCAAGGCCCGAAAAAGCACATAAGCAAAAATGAGGATAGTGATATCCCATATAAACCCCCTTATAATGAAGCCCATTAAAGCAGGGATATCCCTATAAAATGCTTATGCTTATGTGCTTTTTGGGTCCCTAATCCTCTGCCATGCCTAAGGAGCGGGCAATCGGCCGAAATCGTGGCCATCAGCGCTGCCATCGTGATGCGGGAAAGCGATCGGCTGATCTCCAGTATGTTGGCATCCGCGGCAGCGCATAACCTGGGCTTTTAAGTAACCAGGGAGAACAAGGTATGAACGTTTATTTCATAATGGTTCCTTCAAGAAAAAAGTGCTAGAGTATGGTACTCCAAAGCCCAGTAGCAGCTCCATGGCTATGCGCATGGCTAGGCACCCGACCTGGCAGAAAATTGGAGGTAAGTTAGGGTTTCGGGTTTTAGTGTTCAGGGATGTTTTATTGCTGAACGCCTGTTTTCGTCCGCCTGAGGACAAGCCTCCAAATCGTTTGGGTTTCGGATTTCGGGATTGGGGTTTAGGCTTCTTGACATAGGCTTTAGGGCGGCTCCGGGCCTCCGGATCAAAGGTCCCCGACGCGTTTATACGAGCAGAGACAAGCCATTAAGGGATTTGGGGTTTGGACCTTAGAAATCAGAATTTTGCCTGCCCCAAAACGACGATGCCCTAAACCGGCCTGATACCCCGAAGCCATGTTCCGCCCCAGGCCTGGTCAAATCGCAGGGTAACCAGATGAAACAGAGGGCGAAAGCTCTAAATCCTAACACCATTTCCAGCCCCATAGCATGACCCCCTTTGCCTCCATAAACAGCCGATACAAGAGCCTGGAGAAACCATTCATTAAACCCCATTAAGCCCCAAAACCCTTCGAAACCCCTTGATATCTCTCTATGGCCCCTATAAATGGGAGTTTCCGAAATAGGGGACCCTAATATAGGACCTTAAATACTAGGATCCTTACTTTAGGGACCCCAAGATGAGGAACCCCTCATTTTCGGGAAATTCCCACATCCCACAAAGGAGCTTAGCCCTCTCAGCTCCCGGGCCGTCAGGGTCACGTGGAAGCCTCGCTCCAGGGCTTCCGGCCATGTGCCGGGAGGCTCACCTCAAAGCGCTCCAAGAAGATGGTTTAGGGTTTAGGGTTTATGGTTTAGGGTTTAGGGTTTATGGTTTAGGGTTTAGGGTTTATGGTTTAGGGTTTAGGGTTTATGGTTTAGGGTTTAGGGTTTAGGGTTTAGCTAGTTGGGGGTTTTCGAAAATAGGGATACCTTATTTGGGGGTCCTTATAGTAAGGATCCTACTATCTAGGGTACCAGATTAGGGTCCCCCTATTTTCGGAAACTCCCAGTTGGAGTAAGAGAAGGGGCCTTAAGGGTTTGGGGCACTAGGCTTTTAGGGTTTAGGGTTTAGGCTTTTAGGGTTTAGGGTTTAGGGGTTTAGGCTTTTTTTTCCCTCCTACCTAGCAAGGACGAAGCCCGCATTGAGGGTTTAGGGTTTTAAGGCTTTAATATAGGAGGCCTCAAAGGGCTCCGAAGGGAGATGAAGCTACTTGGTGTAAGAGAAGGGGCCTTGATCATGAGAACAGGGTCTTGGGGTAGAGTTTTATACCATAGATTACAATAAGGAACCCCACAAATTGTATTTATTCTTATCATTCAGGCCCCTATATTAGGTGGGGTTGTAATTACTGTTATCATTCAAGCCCCTATATTCGGTGGGGCAATCCCAAATACGGGTTCCTATATAAGGGATCCTTCATCCTACCTACCTTGATCCCACCCTTCTTGGGGAATCCGATCAGCTCAGTGCCGCAGTTAGATAGAGGCCACGAGGTCAAAAAGTTGGGGCTTCGGGCTTTGAGGTTTAGGATATGTGGCTTTCGGGCTTTGAGGTTCAGGGTACACCTTAACCCTGAATAATCTACCTGTTTAAAAACTTTTATAAGGAAATCATAACAAGGAACGCTACAAGGGTATCTAGGTTATCCAGGGCTAAGGCAGGGCTTGAGGGCGTTGGGGTTTAGGAAATGTGGCTTTGGGGCTTTAGCGTGGGTCACATCAGGGGCCCTTCACCGTGCGCTATTCGACAGAAACGAACCGTGAACCCCATCACCGGCAAAACCGTTCAGTCCAGTTGCGGTCGCAGCCGTACTCCAAATACCTCGGGGTTCAAAGGACAGTCTTCGAGGTGTTGGCAGGCTGTCAAACACAAAATATACCACCCCGAATCCTCACAATTTCAAGATTTAAACCTCGTGCCCAAACATTCTCAACTATGCGGGGTTGCGCGGTCTCAAACCAGAACCCTGGACCAAACCCCTCAAACCTAATCTTGACGGCTCACTAGTTCTTTGTTGCTACAAACCAGGGTCGCAAAGGAACCAATTCCTGAATAAACAGAAGCCGCGCTCATTTTGATCAGGTTGGGTGAACTAAAGTTTAGGAAAAGTCTGAGTCTCAGAACTATGGCAAACTGGAAGTATGGTATATAGAGCTTTCCAAAGTAAAGTAACGTTGGCAAATTCTGTGAATCATTTATGGACCTGTCCTCCTACCAACCTGACAACCCATCCACAAGCGAAGCAGGATCCCACAAGGCCAACTCCCCAAGACCCTAAACCCTATCTCCCAAACCCAGAACCACAACTGAAGTCCTGCTTGCTTGACGCAGGGGCCCGAATAAGTTTGAGGAAGAAGGTAGGAACGTGACTTAGAAACCTTCAGCTCTTATTCCGGCCCTTAGACTGCATCCTACTTTGGCAAACTCAATACTTCCTATTTGCAGTACTTCCGAGACTTGGGCGGTCCTAATTCCTCAACCTGATTGATATACGTGCGGCCCTGTTTTATCAGGAATTTATCTTACCATGTTCCTACAGTATTCTGCCACCTTTCCTCGACAAGGTGTAAGCCCGCATGAAGGCCTATAGCTGCCACAGCTTTTGGGTCCCTGGTCAGGCAGCTACAAGTCCGGTGACGACTACTACACGCACAAAATAGAGTCCCCGCCCAAGACGTGTATTTGGCAACGCGTGCTTTTGATGAAACGAGCTGCTGATTTAGGCTTGCCTGTGCCTGTAGTTGATTTGCTGCTGGTCCAACTTGCGACTCACTAGGTCCTGGCTTTCACGTCTGGCTGTTGCAGCCACCCAGCTTGGATTTTTCGCGAGTATTTGATAAAGGTCCCTATGCTTAACATCTTCAACCAACTAGCACCCAAAGACCCAATCAATGTTTCTTCCCTGGTGCCGTTTCGGCCAAGGTCTTTCATAGCACACGGGTTAGGAGCTGCTAGAGTCTGCTAGAGGTCAGGCGCCAACCGATGGCCGAACACCTCACACCCCCATCCCATGGACTGTCCAACCGAACACAAACCACTTCAGGCCAAGGCGCACCCCGCCATCCACGGAAGCCTTCGAATGGCTCACGTAGATGGGAACCACCTCCTTCCCATCAATCACCTGGATCTGGTGAGTTTCAAAACTAGAGACTCCAATATCATGCCAAAAAAACGGCTCCTGTATGGTGGGTCTCTAGGATTTCAGGAATATGCCTATTCAACACTTTTTGAGGGCCACCGACGACTCTGCGACTGCGAAGAGACTTGAAACCCACGAAAACGTCGCTCACCAGTCTAAGGGCTGTTGCGATTCGGTTTTCAGGCTTAAGGTTGGGAGCTTGGGACTTAGGGTTCTGCTACGTCTAGCGCATGCGAACATGCAATCCTAACCCCTGCACGCCCCGGCTTTCGAAATGGTTCAGCCACTGCCTGTGATTCAGGTTTCATGAAACTGGCATCCCCAGAATGGAAGTTTCAAGCGACCAATTACAAATGACCCAATTGCAGAAGATGCAAGCGGCCGCCATACCGCTTTGCAGGCAGGGCGTGCAAAAAAAAAACAAGTGAGACGTTGCAACCTCATGCCGGCCTTGTAACTATAGGCCTTACTACTGATGCTGCCGCCCCCAACTACACCCCCTGTTTTTTGTTGGTGGCTGCACCTTTGTTGACCAGGACAGGTTCATCATCTGCTCCCAGACCGGTAAACCTATCTGGACCCTAAAGAACCTAACAATTGAGGGAGACGAATTGCCACTTTCAAAAAAAATCCGTAAAAAAGGCAGGCTATTCAGAGTCCTCCCCAGGCCCCAAACCCGGCCGAGCCGCTCGAATCTCCGTCCCAAAGTGCGCGTAGGTCGGCCAAGGCACCCCGGGCCTTGCTAGGGTTTAAGGTTTAGGATTTATTGTTTCGGGTTAAGGATTTAAAGTAGCTTTCAAGGTCCTGACTCTGAGGGTGTTTTAGGGTTGCTACAAGAGTTTACAGGCTTCAAAGTTTGCGGAAGTGGGGTTTCGACTCACCCGTTGCATGCACGCAGGCATGGCTTCGGGACGGAGCGGGGTTTAGGGTTTGGGTCGTAGGGTTGCCGGTGAACAAGTTCAAGTAGTTTATACCGGGGCAATGAGAAGGACATTCCGAATCAGGGTGCTGGCAACAACAATCACAACCTACCAAGTCCAAGTAAGGTGTGTCCAGGCTTGAGTGCAAAGTAGCAGATACTGGAGACTCCCATTCCTGTAATCGATGCTTCAGTGTCAGCATGTGTCGGGGTTGGCGGGGTTGCAGCAGTGGCTGTCGCGGCGGCAGTGGTGGCGGCGGCGGTGGTGGGAGGCGGAAGAGGTAGTAGTGCATGGTGCTTGCTGCGGCGGTGGTGGTGCGGTGGTCGTAACCCCAATGCTGTCATCTGCTGGTATTACTGTATGTTGTGTGGTTGTTGTTGGTGTCGCTGTTGTAGTTGGCAGAGCGCGCGTCTGCCGCCGCGCGGGGTGCAGCGATTTCGCCACTGGCATTTGCTGAAACTCGAGCTTTGGCACTTTGCTCACCCGGAATTGATTTTGCGTTTTGTCTTCCCATCGGTTTTTTGCGGTGTTTTCTAGCCAAAAAATGCTACAGCCGGCGGGCTACACTTCGTTTCTTTCTGTGTTTTCCTATCTGTGTCGCATTTCGCGTAGGTTTTTACGGTGTTTCTGCCGACTCTCGACTTTTTGCGCCTGCCAGCTTGGACTTCCATTCGTATTTCAGCTCTGTGCAGGGTTGGGGGGGATGCGGGGGCTGATGACGTCCATGCGAATGCGGATTGCGTCTGGATTGCGTGTTGCGTTTCTCTTGTTGTTTTGTGTTTTGCGCATTGGTGGGGAAATGGGGGTGAAAATTCCGGGCAGCACTGTGCCGACCCTCGACTTGTCGCATATGCCAATCCAATCCATGTGAATGTATTTGACCTCCGTGCAGGAGTGGGGAGAGGGGGGATGCGGGGGGGCTGATGGGGAGGGGGGATGTTGACGATGCTGATGTTGTCTTTCACGATGCTGATGGCTTATGCGGAAGATAACAATGGCGATGACGATAGCACCGGTAATAACAATGACAATGACAATGTTGCTCCGTGTCGCCCTGGTTGTTACGTGACTTTTATTTTAAGACACCACTAATACCAAATACTCGTGTTTTCTAGGCTTTCTAGATTCTAGACAAAAACTTCGCAACGGACTCCAAAAATCAAGAACAATAAAAGACAAAAAACATGGAATTTGCGACACTTTCGCAAAACCTCACCAAAAAAACAAGACAGAACTACTGTGGAAAAATGCTCCGAAACATCATCTTGACGAAAACCACACAAAACTCGCGGGTTTCAAGCTTTCCACCAAAAATCTCCAAAAATGAACGACACACCCCGCGGGGCAGCAAACGCACGCGCTTCCTTGTTGCTGCTGCTGGCGGTCTCTTTACACGGCTTCTCTTTCCGAAGATGAGCCTGTCGGTGAGCAGTCTTTGCAGTACCGCCAGATAGTGCTCGAAGCTGTTTTCGACCTTGGACATCTCGATTCGTCTAAACCCCAAACCTTCAACCCTGAACCCCTAAACCCTTTCTGGACCCAGACACTGCTGATCACAACCCCTAAACCCTTCTTTCTAAACCCCAAAAAAGATGCCTGCCAGCGAAGAACCTCAGGATCTTTGGGGTTCTTGATACGGAACGTACCACAATACAGTAGGGATCTCTGCTGAGTTATGTGGGTTTCCTTATTTTCGTAAGTAAGCTCCTTGAAAAAGAATCCACTTTCCTTCTGACACGCTGATGGGGCGCAACTTACTGGGAGCTACCGTGCTTGCTGTTCCATTTTGCCGCTTCCCGTCTCCAACAGTTGACTCAAGAAGAGAGCTTTTGAGTTGGAGGCACAGCGCCCCCAAAACTCGATCACGGTGCTGACACAGTTGGTGGGCTTGAAGTCTAATTCTACATCCGTTTGCACACCGACTCCAACAACAAAAGCGGGGACGATAACCTCGACGACGACAAGCATGGCGACCACCACACTCGCCACCGCTACCGCTGTGCTGACGATTACAACACGGAAAGCCACATCATCAGCCGCAGCACCTTGAGCAGCTAACCAACAGCCGCTGCCACCCCAAACACACCAAGCGACCCCAACTACAACAAAAACCGGCCGACCCGCAAACCAGCAGCAGCAGCTGCTGCGACTTATGTCCTAACTTCTGACAAAAACTATGAACGTTCTGAAGACACACTAGGCGGTTCAGCATAAGTCGTCACAACAGCGCCACATCAAACCTGAACTGCAATGACAGCAGACAACGATTGTCGGTATCCCGACTGACTTGTTGGAAACAGATGGGTGCCACGGGGCCCAGTCGATCCGTGCGTCAAAGCACAGCTCGGTTGGGCAGAATTCCTCACCTGTGCCACAGTAACCACATCTGGAGGAGGTGTGTTTGGCTTGCGACTCCACTGTCTTGTTGAAGGGTTGTCATACAGGGGCACTTTCCGCATATTCATGTACACATATGCTCATTTTGCACCCCCCCCCCCCGCATCATGACCAGACATTTGACGCAGCCCAGGCACACGGCTCGAAGAAGCACCACTGCCCAGCGCAGTTGTTGTCGCTGGCGAAGATGTAAGGGCGCACCTTGTAGCTGAACCTGGTCATGCCCCGCACCCGTCTGTTACTACGGCGACGACTAATTACCGCGACTCCTATATATACTACCACGTCTAGTTACTAGCCGGGATCTAGGGCTTAGGGCTAATATTTTGCAACAAGGATGAACACGACGCTGATGAAGCCGATGCCCAGACCCGCGAAACCCTATCCTCGAAGCCTCAAAGCACACTAGAACAGCTGCTGCTGCTGCTACTACTACTACCACCACCACCACCACGACGACTACCTACCACTACCACTACCACTACCACTACCACTACCACTACCACTACCACTACCACTACGACTACTGCTACTTGTACTAGTACTAGTACTAGTACTAGTACTAGTACTACTACTACTACTGCTGCTACTACTACTACTACTACTAGTACTACTAGTACTACTAGTACTACTACTACTACTACTACTACTACTACTACTACTACTACTACTACTACTACTACTACTACTACTACTACTAGTACGACTAGTACGACTACTACTACTACTACTACTACTACTACTACTACTACTACTACTACTACTACTACTACTACTACTACTACTCATGCTACTACTGAACTTCCTTTGCCGGCGAAAAAATGCCGAGACTCCAAGTCTTCAGTACCGCCAGCGTGCGCTGCCAGGCGCGATGCGAGAGAACCGCGGTGCTGTGATGCTGGAACCTATTTCGTGGTTGGGATCGTATAATTAACAAAAAATACACTTCTGTTCCTAATATAGTACCCTGAATAGTAGGTATTGGGCTTAAGTAGCAAGATGTTACCAAACGATGGCAAAGGAACAACGCCGGCAGCTTGTCCTGGATCCTCGGAAACAGCACAAAAAGGGTTCCACGGGGGATTGTATAAGGGCTCCATTTTTCCTTTCTCTTTGGTAATCAGGGTTCCGCAAAGGGCTCTACAAGGATTCCATCAAGGTTTCATTTTTGCTTCTCTCTTTGGTAAACAACACCCATGTTGTACATGGCTTTGAGAGGATCGGGTACTTGAGATCTGGCACGTTGAGGCTTCGGCTTGCCGATTTGGACTCGAGGTGAGGGGTTCGTATTCACTGTGGTCGTTGCAGATTGCCTCCATGTTGGGTTTGAAACGGGGTGCAGGATTCAGGGGCCTTACAAGTGCAGGAGTGGTTGTAAGTGGGGCGACAAGTAAAATGAACAGAGGTACTACTGATTTACAAGGAAAGCTCTGTGACATTCAAAACCAGCTACTTAGAACTGCCCGTGAACCTACTAGAGCTCACAGACATAGTACGCGTCATCACCAGCCCCGACATCACCCTCATCATCATCACCACCATCATGATCGTCATGATCATCATCATCATCATCATCATCTCTCTCAGTCGCTGCCGTGCCATCCTCGAGGGTCGCGCTACGCAAGGGCACGAAACGATGGGCGAGATGATCATCACAGCGGAGACTGGAGTTTCAGAAGGCAACGATTGAACCCCAAAACAAGACAAGCCTAAGTCTAACCTCAAAAATGACCCCCATACATGCAAGAGTATAGAGGCCAAGGATCTTGATATGCAAGAAGAGCATCTCGACAACGTCAGCAGAATGGAGGATGAGGCCGGATAGTAAGGAATCCTTGCGGTACGAGCATTGATACACCCGAATATTTAAGCTTTCGGATTCAGGATTTAAAGTTGGGAGACTCCTGCTCCGCACTCATAAGAACTTGGAATTGGAGACCGGTTGGAGAAGAACGACGAGGCCGCGAACGCAACATCCGCTGGGATTCGGAACTCCAAACTCGAACGCCCTGTCATCCTAGAACCTCGAAATCCGAAATCACGAAACCTAAATTACAGAACACGCTCCCTTGCCTAAGCCGTCTTTCAGGAGCCTAAACAGCAACTAGACATAAGCTAGTGGGTGTAATATCGCTAAATCGGGGTGTCGGATTTTGTGCTTTTATGCCACCAAAATGCTCCACTCCGCGTGTTGGCTCTTGAAGCCCTTCCTTCTGAGCACTTGGGCCCTTCGCTGCTGAGAACCTCTCCCCCGTAAACCCCTTTTGCAGCGGGGTATAGAATTTAGGGCTTAGGTTTCAAGGTTTAGGGCTTAAGGTTCAGGGTTTAGGACTTGGGGTTCTAAACCCTTTCGTCGCCCGGGGGCTCCCTCACCAAGAACGTGTGCCCAAGCAGAGCCGAACTCTCGAAACCGCTGGAACAGACCCTGAACCCCTCCCTAGACCCTTGGAATACCTGAAAGCCAAACCCTACAACCCGTCTTAAGGTCACATATGGCTGCTGGATTTGACTAGGTTAGCCCCCTGAGCAATATGCTGACATAAGATCTAGGGAGGAAAAATTCGAAACATCAGATAAGCCGTGCCCTACCTAGTTCAAACCTTGACATCAAGTGGTAGTGTATATATATATATATAGAGGAACTTGATTAACAAACCTTGGGTCTTTATCAGCGTTCCTTGTATGAATCCTACTATCTGGGGGGTTAGAGGCCCAAGGTTTCTTAATCAGGTTCCTACATTACTATAGTACCCTTGTAGATCCCTTATAGTAACCCTTATAGTAACCCTTTGAAGGAACCCTAATAAAGGCCCAAGGTTTCTTAATCAGGTTCCTAGATTACTATAGTACCCTTATAGACCCCTTCTAGTAACCCTTTAAAGGAACCCTGGTGGCCAGTCCTTGCTGCCTTTCAGCTGATGAAGCTGCCACTCCGTGCTTATCAGCCGCGCCGGAAGCATCAGCTGCGGACACTGAGGCAGGGCATGTGTGGCCTCAGATGCACTCGTTTGGCTGTCTTAGCGTAGGACAGGTTCCTTACCCCTCCCTAATGGTTACGGTATAGGCCTTAGTATGCCTGACGCGTAACACTCGCCAGGAGTAGTGTGCCGGACTCAGAAAGGACTCTGACAAAGCCTATTGCTCATGAGGCTTCAGTTTGTAAGGTTTAGGTCTCATCCTGGAAGCACACAAAACCTCAGAACGGATACCACGCAGGAACCCCCAAAAAAATCCACAAATCCTCTACCCTAACCCAGAACCGAAAACCCTAAACCCTAAACCCTAAGCCCTTAAACCCCGAAACATTCGGAGGGCCGTCTTCGAGGCCAGGAGAAAGGGCCGCAGAATCGGATCAACCACATCTGGTGCCTCAACGGGGACCACTTTGGGTTCTGAGGGTGCCTTTAACGGTTCCTTATGATACCTTAAGGGGGTCTGTAAGGGTACTTCCGGGCTTAGGGTTGAGCATTTGCGGGTTTGCGGTTTACCGGTTCAGGCGGTTTGGGCGTTTCCAAAGTTAACCCTGAACTGAAGAATATACTAAAGAGCCTGGATATGGCTAAAACGGGACACTTTCTATAGTTCTTCGGACCTATACTACCCGGATCCATATGATGGGCCCTTGTGCAATCTCAGGACTCTTGCAACCTCTGGTCATTTGAAGGATCCTTTTGCACAGGTTTTGAATCCAAAATTGGGCAGGGGCAGGGCAGAGCTGCCTGGCTGGGCTGGCGGGCTGGGCTAATTGCCCAACGGCTTGGAATTGGACCGGGCACACATAATTACAGAAAATTCGACTCTAATGAGAACTTCACACAATGTCTATTTATCCTGTTCTTGAGGAAGTTTAGGGGACAGGGTTGAGGATTCCGCAGGAAAGGGCTTTACGGCTTGGGTTTTCGAGTTTCTGATCTGCTCTCGCAATGCGGACAAGCCAGACCAGGTCTGGCAGCATATCTTCGCACCTCTGTTTTTTGCGTCTATAGGGTTTAGGGATTAGGGTTTAGGGTTCAGGGACTAGGGTTTGGGGTTTAGGGTAGTAGTAGCCCTGCACTCCAAATTAAGGATGTCAGGGGGGATGTTATGACAGAAGGAGGGGTTTGGGCTGTGTTGTACTACGACTTGAAGCTACAAGACCTGGGCTCTACAAGGGTACGGAAGGCTGATTCAGGAGAGCCACATGTAGGACTCACGGCTCCAACTGCGGAACTGCCTTAAATGCCCTAAAGCCCTGAAACCTTAGAGATAAATTCCTCATACTACTGTATTCCTTACAGCTGATTCCTTATAGAGTTCCCCTATACGCTTCTGCTTTCATTTGATCCCATTTGATAGCACAACCTCCATATTTGGTGGCTAAACCCAACACACCACACTCCTCCGTGGGTCGAGCCTCCAAATACTGCTGCAGCCAGTCCTACAGGTTCTCACATGCCGCATTTGGTGGTTTATGCTTTTTTGGGGTGAGGGGTGTGGGGTCAGTTTCAGTTGTTTAGGCTTTGGGGTCTAGGGGTTTAGGGGTTTAGGGGTTTAGGGGTTTTGGGGGTTGTGAGGGGTTACGGCTTTGCAAGTTGGACGTTTGGGGTTTAGAGTTCGTGCGTTTCATCGCTCACTCTCGCACAGGGCAGGCAAAGCTCCACACAATCCATTTCGACTCTCACGCTCGCACCAGGCTGGCAAGGATTCAAACAGGTCGGAGGATGAATCTCTAGCTTAGGTCTAAGGTTTAAAGTCTTTCGGAAAGAAGCTCTCTGCTTCCCGCGGGTCCTCGATCAAGCGGAGATATGTCGCCACGTGGTAGCCGCCCAGATCGCACCAGGGTTGCCCGCCGGAAAGCAAGTCCTTAAGTGTAGGCACTGCAGGCATCTAAACGAGGGCTTCAACATTTAGGGCCTAAGGGAGCCAACTGGAATGACAACGAGATTCTACTACCCCCACAAAATCAATTAAAGGTTGCTTACTACTGCTAAGAGTCCGGTTGCATCTGAGTGATGTATTGGACCTCCCTGCTGGCCTGGCTGGAGGTTTCCCCTAACCCATCAAGTGAGAGCTTCGGAAATTGGGCCCAAAGGCAAAGCAAATTCGAACAATCCGTTTGTAAGGACCCCAAAAATAAGGTCTCTCAGGGCTTAAAGTTTACGATCTTCTGTGCAACACTGCGAAGACGGGGAGGCAGCTGTTGATGACATATTCTCGTTGCTCGGGTTGAGGGTTGGTATATTGCATGAATCTGAATCCAGGAATCCAGGTTAGTGTTCGGGGCTTGGGTTCGCGGATCCAATTATCAGCTTGGTGACCTCTGGTTTCTTTATTTCCACCCTTGGGGCTCTTTCGCAGCATTGCATTATGCCACATCGACCTTTGTTGCAGCAGGCGCCCCTTTGCTTTCGCAACCTTTCGAGAGATCCCACGTGATGCCTTCGCACTCCACTCACGCACGCGGTCGTGCAACCCGGCGCCCAGGACCGTGCCCACCACATGGCTCCAGAACCACCAAGGGGCCATGACTTCATGGCACTCCGAAGCACAGTGTTCCGAGTCTGGGTCCCTTCGGGCTGTCGAGTTCGCGTAGTTTAAGTCGGGCCTGAGCTTTGGGTGAAGGAAAACTGCTGAGGAGGCTGCCTACAGGCTGGGACGGTGAGTCGGGTTGGCAAGCTGGGCAACAGCTTGAGTGAGCAACAAGCCGTAAACTTCGTGGGCTGCTTGCTGCGCCGGGATGAGCAGCAATTACACTAGGACTCTTCAAGAAATTCTAGACACTAACACCCTGAAGGCCATCAACCCAAAACACTCTTACCCCAGCTTCTTCCCGATTGCCTGCTCCGCCGGCGAGTCCCAGAACCAGCAAACCTTCAACAGGTCAACCCTGAACCTTCAAACACCACACTGGCAGAGTCTGTGTCGCAGGTGTGTTTGTCCCAGCGCCGCTGGTGCAACATCAGTCCCACCACGGCCGCGAGGAAGAGCATCGCTTGGAAAAGAAACGCGGAAGGCCCACCGAAGCTGTCCTGTGAAGCCACGGGTCGGGAGGCAAAGGCTTTCAGTTCAAGGGCCTGGCGGCCCCACAGTTCCATTACAGTAGAAGCCAGAAAGTTGGAACATGGGCTTAGGAGGATTAGTGCTAGGATCCCTTATCCTTTACCTTGAGGGCATGATGATACTAATGTTGCAACTTTCTGGCTTCTACCATATGGCTGCAGGTCCGCGAAAGAAGAGCCTCGAAAGATCCTGCATCGACTTCAGTAACCCGGGAATGCATTTAGCTTGACTGGAGCTCCACTGGGTGATGTGGACCATACAGGTCGCTACGGTTGATGATACAAATCCTGCATTACCCATAATAAGGAATAGACCATAATTACCGTAGTTTAGGGTCCTTAAGGTAGCGCAGGATCTATATCATCAACCGTATTATGCTACAACTGCGTGGGGAAACCACGGCCTGTGACTTTCACAGTGAAATAGACTTAGAAAACAGTGGGAGTTCCTAGCGGGAAAGCTGGGGTGGCGCCTGTCCAGCACGTCTTGCAAGCGGCCAGGGGGATTGAAATTGCTGACTCGATTCGAAGAAACAGCTGCAGCATCTCTTCGAGTATGTGCTGATTCGGCTGATTCATGAACTATCACCCGATTTTTCAACAATCTCAGCCACCCAGCCTTGCAATCTAGTCCGCTGATTCACGAACAAAGCCTTGAGCATCGAAGACCTCAAAGCCCGAAACCCCAGCAACGCAACTGTGGCAGTCCATGAGCAGCCCGGCCAAGACGGGTGCGGCCACGCGAAGGGCAGAGGAGCACACATCCAGCCTCGGGTGGTAAGGGCAAAGCCTTGGCTACCTCTGCGCGGTCCGAAATCCCGAAATCCACACCCCTGGCCCTTAACTCTAGAACCAAACTCTCTGGCTGAGGGTTTGCCTCCAAAACTTGGCTTTTTTTTTCCCACCCGCCCAGCTGACAATGTCGCACCGCAGGGAGCTCGTCCGAAAGCCTAGAGAAAAAACCACGTGGTGACCGTGTGCAAGCCCCGAGTCGAGCGAGTAGGTAGCACAAGACACTAGCACAAACACTAAACCAACAGCCAAGGCATCCTCTGGCTGTTGGTTTAGTGTTTATGCTAGTGTCTTGTGCTACCTACTCGCTCGACTCGGGGCTTGCACACAGTCACCACGTGGTTTTTTCTCTAGGCTTTCGGACGAGCTCCCTGCGGTGCGACATTGTCAACTGGGCGGGTGGGAAAAAAAGCCAAGTTTTGGAGGCAAGCCCTCAGCCAGAGAGTGTTCTCGCGGCGAGGGTTCAAGGTTAAGGGTTCAGGGTGCAGCCTGCTGCATTCCAGGACCTGCGTGACAGCCCCGAACACTTGCAAAGGCCATTGCAAACATCAACTCCACAACTCGTAAACCTTAAATCCTTTCAGCACGGACTGAGGTGCCGGCCAGCACCTACGGAACTCGCAGCCCCGTTTTAAGGCAAGAGTTCGCAGGAAAAACTGTAGATGACCTTAAACCCCATAGTACAGGATGACCATTCTGAACATTTGGCACGGCCACAATTGCCAGCGAATCGCAAGCCCTAAATCCTTAAGCCTACTCTATGAGCCTGTCGCCCTCCCGAAATCCGACATCCGACGCTCAAACCGTAAACCCTAAACCCTCAGCCCTGGAGCCCTGAATGCTGAACCCATTTTATGCCAGCCCCAAACTCGCAGACCAGCGGCAGGCCCATTGCTTCGCCTTGCCGCTGCTCCGGCACTTCTTTGCCTTGAGCCCAGCGACTGCAAAAGGAAGGGTTCGGTAACCTTTCCATAAGAATAATAATAAAAATAAATAATGATAATAATATTAATTAATAATAATAACTATGATAATAAATAATGATAACAATAATAAGGGGCTTGGCTGCAAGGCTCACAAGAATTTCTGAAAAGTTTGAGGGTTTCATGGAGATTTGGAGCGCGGGATGCTTGCGATTTTGGGGGCTTAGAGAGTTTGGGGCTTCAGGCCTTTTGGGCGAAGGGTTTCGGGGTTGTGGGTTCAGACGGTGCAGATGGAGGCAGATTGGGGTTGACAGCACCTCACTCCTTGGGCTTTAGTTTAGGGTTTAGGGGCACGGGTCAGGGTCGATCGAAGTTGCACTTCTTCGGTGTAGTTGGGGATGCGAGCCGAGATACTGCCCGTCTTCCCTTCCTCCCTCCCCTGCCTACGACGAAACACAAACCAGGCCCCACGGTTCTGCTTTCGGGAGTGGCGGCTTGGGCGCTCTACGATTCGGGGTTCAAGCGCCATGGTCCAGCGATGGCGTTTGTAGCATCAGGACCCTGCTGGCACTTTTGTGGAGTTGATGCCGGCTTTCTAGGGTTGGATACGCATGTTTGGCATTTTGAGTACGTGCTGGACTGTCTTGAAACGTATGAATCGGCCTCCGGCCTGCAGCGACGCTGCCGAAAGACTAGCAACCCTAAAGCCAAGCCCTGAACCCCATATTTCTTATTATCATTGTCATGATTATAATTTTGATGTTGACTATTCTGATTGTTATGGTCATTATGATTATGACTACCTATACGGAACCCTTTAAAGAACCCTAAAGAGCCCCAGACCTTCCGAGACCAGTCGCTCAGCAACGCCGCAGGAAAACTTCGCAGCACCGAGTTGGCGGCAGCGGCCAGGGGCGCAGAGGCCACGATCGCTTCGGGGCTCTGCCTACTTGGACAAGGGTTCCTTTAAGGGTCCCTTTAAAGGGATCTATAGGAATTCTATAAGGGTATAGGGTTTAGGGCCTACTTGGAGGTTTAGGGTTTAGGGTTTTAGGGTTTAGGGTTTAGGGGGTTCATGTGGTTATAGGTGGGGTTATTACTTGGAGGTTTAGGGTTTCAGGGTTTTCAGGGTTTAGGGGGTTCATGGGTAGTTATAGGTGGGGTTATAGGGCTCCTTTAAAGGGATCTATAGGGATTCTTTCAGTGTATAGGGTTTAGGGTCTACTTGGAGGTTCATGGGTAGTATACGGGTTAAAACTACAGTTACCCTACTTATAACCCCACTTATAACTATCCATGAACCCCAACAAGTAGACCCTAACCCTTTTGCCCTTATAGAATTCCGAGAGATCCCTTTAAAGGAGCCCTATAACCCCACTTATAACTACTCATGAACCTCCAAGTAGGGGAGGAGTCCAAAGGGCTGTAGATTTAAGGCTTAGAAAGGGCGGGTTTAGGGTTTAGGTTTAGGGTTTTAGGGTTTAGGGTTCTAGGGTTTGGTTTAGGGTATAGGGCTTTAGGGTTTAGGGTTTAGGGTATAGGGTGTGTAACAGTATGCGCGGTGGGTGCGCCTTTTACTTTAGGAATAAGGGGCGCACCCACTAATCGCGCGCTTGCATCAGCATGTAGTCCCGCCCCAACCACCCCAACTATTCTCAATTAGGGTTTAGGGTTCACCCCCCAAACCCCCCTCAAGGGGGGCTTTCTTGCTCTCTGCTTCCTTTCGCAGCTCGACATGTAAACAACAATATTTCTCCAGAAATCACAGCTGAAATGGATTTGCTGTCGGGTTGTGGGTCCTCGCGGCCTGTGCCGGCCGCTCGACGAAAAGAAGCATTTCCAACAAACAACTTGGTTGTCGCGCCCTGTACGGGCTGCTCGAAGTGTGAACAAGGCAGGGCAGAGCGAAAAAGTAGGCCAAAAGGGCAGGGCAGGGCAGGCAGGGCAGGGCAGGGCAGGGCAGGGCCGGGCGGGGCAGGGTCAGGAACCAGGCGAGTGCAGGGGCAAGGAGGCAGGAACGCAGGGCAGGAGGGCAGGGCAGGGGCAGGGCAGGGACAAGGGCAGGGCGGGCAGGGGAGGCAGGGCAGGGCAGGGCAGATGGTCGGACCAGAGGGGCTTTCGTAAGGGCTCCAGAACAGAGCAGAGGGCAGGGCAGGGCAGGGCAGGGCAGGGCAGGGCAGGCGGCAGGGCAGGGCAGGGCAGGGCAGGGCAGGGCAGGGCAGGGCAGGGCAGGGCAGGGCAGGGCAGGGCAGGGCAGGGCAGGGCAGGGCAGGGCAGGGCAGGGCAGGGCAGGGCAGGGCAGGGCAGGGGTAGAAAACCACGAACCGCACCAAAACCAAACCAAACAGCGCACCAAACCAACCAGTGTCCGCACCAAAACCAACACCATCTCACCATAGCAACCTGGGTGCGTCACCAAAACCGGCGTCACCAATCACCACACCATGCGCTTGCATCACCAAAAGCCCCTCGTGGACGCACCAACACCCAGGGAGGCCTCACCAAAGGCGGGCCGCACCAAGGACCCAAGCCGAATCTCCCAATCTATCCCAAGCCAGCGTGATGCCAACTGCTACCGCAAAATGCGCGAACATTTTTTTCCCAGGTCGTCTCTCGGCATCGCCAGTGCGCCGGCAGTCGATGGATTGCTGCCGCGCCTGCAGCACGTTTGGCATATTTTGTGACCGCTCCTTTGCGCTTCGAAACTCCGGCGTACTCTAGCTTGTGTGGGTGAAGTTGGGAATAGGTCAGG